CGTGCCAGGCTGATGCCAACATGCAGTGCAGAGGGCCCCCAGCCTCCTCCAGCCCTTACCGTGTGTGCTGCTGCAGGTGGGAGAGCTGGCGGAAGGCCTTCTGGCAGTAGCTGCACGTGTAGGGCTTGGCCCCCGAGTGGATGCGAATGTGCTGGGCCAGGTAGGAGCTGTTGGCGAAGCTCTTGGAGCAGTGAGGACACTTGTGTGGCTTTGTCTCCGTATGGGACTTGGAGTGGATCTGCATCTCCGACTTGGAGTAGAACGTCAGCGAACACATCCGGCACCTGGGACCGGGACGAGGGGAAGAGACAGCGTCACGCAGGGGCGAGCCCCAGTAGGGAGCAACTCTAACTGGACGGGGTCTTCCACGCTGGGTGAAGGAGGGACGTTTTTCTCGCTATGTGGTTCTGGGGGGGTTTCACCCGGGACACCGCTCGGCTGCGAGTACTCCAGTCCCAGGGGGACAAACTTAAGGTAGGAACTGGCAGAAGAGACTGAACAAGACCTTGCAGCCAGACAAGCAAAGGTCTTGGAAGAATCTGAGAGGTTAATTTGTTCGGTTTACGAGGGAGACAGGGCAGCGCTTTGGAAATGTTCCAACAGCAATCTGAAGGGGACAGGAATAATCATTCCCAGACAAAAACCCACTTTGTTCACCTGTGATTTATTTCAGCCAAAAAAAGGTTGGAAAACCTGGAGATTCCAGCTTAAGGTTCATCTTCATAATAAAAAGTTAATCCCAAGTACTGCAAAGTCTGCAAAAGCAGTTATGGCCAAACGCACTTAACTCTGCTCCCGTTTTTGGGGAAGACACTCCAGTATTTAGGACACAAAATGCTGAAAACAACAGTGCTGCTTTCCTAGAGGGTCTCGCAAAAGATACTCTGGATATCAAATGTGGTATTTCACCCATCTTACGGGCTTCCATCATTTCCACCTCACTGATGGGATGCAAAGTGTTTTGTCTGGGAGTTTGGCCCCACCTGTTCCCATAACGCTCGGAAACACAGGCTCTTTGAACAGGAAGAAGCAGTTGGCATCTATCTGCTACGGATGCTGCTGTTAAAAACTGTTCCTCCGTCGTGACAGCAGGCTGTTAAGAGAAGCTCGCACTGGTATACGATTCAGGATGGTGAAAGCTTTTCTGCTTCATAATTTGACAGAGATATGGAAGCTGCATCCAAGTTACTGGATTTTTATTGTTCTTTTTCCTCCCCAAATGTGTGCCAACCAAGGGGCAGAGTTAAGGTTCCTCTGAACTTAGTTTTTCCATTTGCAGACTTTTCAATGAAACAAAACGGAACCCGTGCTTGGAACTTCCAGGGTCACCCAGGAGAAGCCTGGCTAACGCGAATTCAACCTTCACAGCAGGTTGACTGATGTTTTTGTCTGGGAATTTCCTCAAGTTTTACCCGTGTTGACAAAACTGCTCAGTGACAAAAATCTCCGCAGGTATTACAAGCCACAAAGAGTTGACCCTGCTTATTCCCATATCCACCTCCTCCCAGGAGCATACTTCATTCCCTGGACTGTTGTGACTATTCCTGTGGGAGTCAGCAGCTTTAGGAAGTGTGCAGTCTGACTAGTGTATGTAATGTTGGCAGCATTTATCCAGCACCTACCTCAACTTCCCAGACCCTTCCAAGCCACAGCTTGACTCTGAGCTGCTCAACGGGGAGCTGTGCCTCCCCAGCAAGCACTCTACCACACACCTGCCATAACATCTTTTTTCCTCTCCATTGATGTTCTTTTACATTCAATCAGATGATGAAGGGAGTGGAGCATCTCCCTTATGAGGAAAGGCTGCAGGAGCTGGGTCTCTCTAGCTTGGAGAAGAGGAGACTGAGGGGGGACCTCAGTAATGTTGATAAATATGGAAAGGGTGACTGTCATGAGGATGGAGCCAGGCTCTTCTCACTGGCATCCAATGATAGGACAAGGGGAAATGGATCTAAGCTGGAACATAGGAGGTTCCGCTTAAACATGAGGAAGAACTTCTTCCCAGTAAGGGGAACAGAGCACTGGAACAGGCTGCCCAGAGAGGTTGTGGAGTCTCCTTGTCTGGAGATGTTCCAAACCTGCCTGGATGCGTTCTTGTGTGATCTGATCTAGGTGGTCCTGCTCCGGCAGGGGGATTGGACTAGATGATCCTTTGAGGTCCCTTCCAGTCCCTGACATTCTGTGATTCTCATCTCCAACAGTTGTTCTCACATTTCCTACCTTCCCTTAATCCACTTTAATTGCAAACCTCAACAGAACACGCAAGCTAAATGCATCCTTACACAAATCCCCTCTCACACACACACCACAATCCCTTCTGGAATTGGGCTGTTTATCCCTAGGTCTCTTAGAGCTACGAGGAGTAAAAAGGAACATCAGAATCATCCTTTTTAAAAGAACAGCTCTTGGTTTATAAACCAAACTATCTCCAAACACTTACACAGTCTGTTCCAGACTTTCTGAAATGTTTAAAGCCAGACTTGAACACAGCACAGGCATTTTGCAGTTATCAAGTCATACTTGCAGGATGAGGATTGGATCCTTGAAAGCAGCAATGCTGGAAAGAGCTTTGAGGTGAACACTGAACTGAAAAATACCTCTAAGTTGCCAAGTTCAGTTCCCTGCTAATGCAAGCAATTATGGCATAATCCCGTGCATGACTTTTAGCAAGCTCCTTCTCAGCAGATGCTCACTTCCATCACTCTCACTCCAACTCTGCTCCATGGTATCCTCTGATAAGGAACCATCCACTTCAAACCAAGCTCCCAGTGCGCTGCTGTGCTAATACAGCTAACCAAAAAAAGGGGAATAGTGGGCAGTGTTTTTGTAACCAGGAATGGCGCGACTGTTCCTGCAACAGCACAGCTAATTCTCAACTCCACACAGTCAACAATTAGTGAAAAACTCAACAAAGTTCCGCCACCTTAAAGAATGGTGGTGTGTCGAAAACTGCCTTCACAGTAAAGATTCACTAAGCCCACTCTAGGTTTGGAGAAAAGCTTAAAAGATGCCTTGGTCAATACCCGTAGTAATCTATGTAGGGAGAATAATATCAAATTAATAGGGGCTTGGTTTATGAGCAAGGAAAGGTGAAATGAGAAACAATAACAGCAGAAGTTAAAAAATCTAAGAGGAAATAGCACCTTTCCAACCAGGAGAATAATGCATCTTTGGAGCCACGCTCGGAGGCTGTAGTATGGTCTCAGTCACTTGGCCCCTGCAATCAGCATTTTGAAAATCCAGCTGCCTTTCTGAGAGCAACACCTTTCTCAAAATTTTGCTCTGGTTGAAATACAGCGCTGGGCACTAACCTCTTCTGTGCCACACACACAACTATATTTTAAGCAGCCTATTCTGTTTTGAAAAATTCATGAACCTTACTATGTCATCAAGTCTAAGTAGTCCCATGCACTAAATCTGTAGTGCCACAAAGCCATCTCCTTTATTTTCCATAACTTCTGTGCATCCTTTGCTTTACTTATTTGCTTTGTCAGGTATCTGCCCTCAGGTCAGAAATTCCCGGGAACAAACTTTAATGAAAAGAAACAGACTGAACATCCTTTTCCATTTTCAAAATAAAATTCTGAAGAAGGTATTTCAAAACCTCTCTGGCACTTGCATAAAAACAGAAGATAAATCTGACTGTTAGCAAAAACATCACCCCCCTGCCAAAAAACCAAACCCCTCTCATCTGAACTTAGCAGCTACAGACATTCCAGTATTGCTTTTCAAACAACATTTGAACAGAAAGCCTTGCAAGGACTCATTTTCCAATCATCTAATTAGCATCAGTCCTGAGAGGGCAAGGATGTTGCGAGGCATTAACAAATCCATGAGCTCTCCGAGCCAAGAAAAGCCCTGGAACACGGCAGAAAGCTGCACTTCCAAGAGTTTTGCATTGTGTGGTATCAGGCATTTTCAAGGGAACAAATGATCCATTTAATTAAGAGCTTCGCATTCTGCCTCAGACAACATCAAATATTAAAGGGGAAGATGCCACCAGCCCTCTAGTGGCAAATATGGATTCCAAAATACGGTAAATCTATAGGGATAATGAGAACATCACATCTGACACCAGCAGTGTTCCAGCATTCTCCTTCAGGAAAACCCTCCTGGCTGGGGAGAGGAAAAGCTGGGAGCGCTCCTTGCTAGGCACGAACACAACGCTACACGAAATAATTGATTCCCCCAAAAATGCCCCCCCCCCCCCCGACTCTGTTTAATATCCATTTTTAATCTTTTCTCCCCGCAAGTCACAGCACTGACTGCAGCATTCCCATCACCAGCGTGACACGACAGCCCTACAGCTGCTGGGTACAGCTCTGAATTTAGACAGCCCAGCAGAACACATCCTCGATAACACAGAGGTGTATCTCTCCACGTAAACAGTTAATTTAGTACCCAGCCATATGCCCCAGATCAAAAGTAACCCCCTTCAGTGCCTGTAATACTTCCTTTTTATAGGGAAGCTGTAGGGAAATCAAGTGGGACATTCGGAGAACGTTCGTGTTAGACAGAAACACCCTCAAAAATCACGAAATGCCAGGAAAAGGTGGATGCACCACTCTAATTCCGCTCCCATACGAAAGTCATCGTGATGAGTCACAAACAAAACGATGCTTATAGCAGCTAGACTACAACTCTGTGGCACACAGGGCTGTATTTTTTTTCCACTTTTCATGGAATGTTCCGCCTCATTCATCAGATGCTGTTAGGAGATAAAATACCATCTGAAACACCAGCTCATGGCAAAATTTGCCTAACATGGATTCAGAGCGTTTTTCAATCAACTGCTTAATTAATCAGTGTCACAGTTGTGAAAACTACGGAAGCTTTTACGTGGCTTTGAGAATTCAAATTCCTAGTTCCTACTAGGACTAGTCTTGGAAGTTAATTGAGCCCTTGCTCCTTCTGTTAGGCTACAAATACATGTTAGACCACAAATTTAAAAAAAAAATAAAAAATAATCAAGTCAGAAAGGTCTGAAGTTAAACTAAATAATAAGTTTAGGCTGCCAGAGTCAGCAGTTCATTTAGCAAGGAAGGAAATGCACTGCCTTTGCAACGCAGAGCTAATGAAGTAACTAATCATAGTTGGTAATAAATCCTACTTTAACCCTCGCGTTCCCCCTTTCTTTTTTTTTAAAGCTGAAGTTAAAACATTTTCTTGCTGATGTTTGCAAGAAGCAGGAGAAAGGAGACAGAACTAACACCCAATAAACTCAGATAAGACCTAAAGTAAGCCAGTGAGTACGAAGATGCCAAATGAAAGCACATGAGCGGTA